CAGCAGAGACCTCATACACTTGAACTTTCCTCTGCATGACTCAGACTGTTCCCAAGTTTCTGCACTATTAATACAACTGGGGAGGGGAAAAGAAAAAGAAGGACTTCTACACTCTGGATGAGCTAAGGAGTCATTTAAGAGCAGTTCCAAAAGTCTATCAGTAAATTCTACATAAAATGTTTAAAAAGCCACGCAGATACAGCTCCCCTGTTTTTACCTTGGCTTCATTGGTTCTGAAATCTCATCAGCTTAAAGAACAGCAGTTGCATAAGGGAAGGAGTATGCTATAGAGTACTCCATATATGCAATACTAAATCTACTTAGCACTTAACAAGAACCAAAATTATTTACAACAGCCAGGATAAAACTATAATTAAGTGGCAGAAAACCGGCATGGGAGAGATGATCATAAGAATCAGCAACGTTGACATAAATAAGCTATATATAGACATAAAAGAGCAGTCTATAGTTAAATATATCCCATTCTCCACAGGTATGAAAACACTCTATTTCAGAGGTCAAATTTCCAATATTCGAATATTCATATAGCTGCCTTTATTTTCCAGATATCTCACATTCTTAATAAAGCCTGTGGTTACAATTGTAACATTCACAGCCTGACATTGCAGAGGCAGGTAATCTCTTCTGAAAGCATCACCTTTTATTTTAGTACCTGGTGAATGAATTCAGGCTTGGTGAATGAATCAAGCCACATAAAACTCCAATTTTTGGAAATTTCAGTAAAGTGACATTCTGTCTATAAACCTTACCAAGGCCATCACCATATTGAAGTATTAGCGATGCTTTTCTTAGAATATCAACACATCTGAAATTCATTCTCTGAAGAAGGCCAAATTTTATTCTCTACAAAAGGCAGCAGCCTACTAGCGTCTTGAATAAATGGAGATAATTCCTCTCTGGCAAACAAAGGTGTGTGCTCGCAGACCTGCATGGAGGTGACAGCGCACATTTCTGAGGGGTAAGGGCAGATCAGTGTCTTGTCCTTGCCTGCAGAGCAGCACAGGTCCCCCTCTCCTTTCTGTAGTGCTGAACTGTTCTCCAAAAATCAGAAACCATCCCATAACATTTCCCTCTGAAAAAGGAGGACCTCACCACACCCCTACAAACCCTGTGGGTGACACACTTATCACGGCAGGCACCCCTTGAATGCTGAGAGGAGGAGACCTTTGCCCGTTGGCATGTTTGCTCACTACTCCTTTACAGGTTTCTTGGATGACAAGAGGGAAAGGGGACTCACACCTACAGATTTTTTGCAGCCCAGGAGAAAGATGAAGCGAGGCTTATTCTGAGCTTTGACCTTTCTGTTATTCTCCTGTTTTTCTTTTAACTCTTTATTTCCACTGGAAGGAACTCGGAGTACTTTTGCGTCTTGGCCAGTCAAGCCCCGTGTGCACCCAGCTCTGCAGTCTGCCCCGAGCTGCCACCGTTCCCTCAGCCCCAGCAGCCTTGCTGTGGTCTCATGGGATGCCCCAGCGAAGGACACACAAGGCTATTGGCACCCTCCAATGTAGCTGTTGGGAAGAGGCGGAATGCTGGCCTCGTGCTCGGAGTTGATCCCTCAGCTCCATAGAGTCAGTGTTAAAACATCCTTGGTGTCCTCACAGCAAGGCAGGCATTTGGCCTCTGTTCTCCGCTTTTATTTCTGTTTTCTTCATTACTCTCCTAGGAATTGAATTTAGACTTTTATTTTTTTTGGCACTGAATTTTACCAGACCGTATTTCCTTTAAAGATATTGACATAAATTTACTTTCTCTACTTCTTTAAATAGTCTCTTTACATTTTTTAGCTCACTATTTTTATCAATTTTTAACTTTATCTCTAGTGCTGCTTCACAATCTCCAAGTGTGTTTGTTTCAAATCCTGTTTTATTCCAATCATAAGCAAAACAAGGGAATCTAAGCTCCCTCTTATCACATGTACTCACAATCTTTGACACTGTTATTTCCTTTAAACTTGGAGAAAAGATTGGTTTCCACAGATACTGTTTCTACTGAGATAGAATTCCCTGCTCTTCTTCTTTCTGGACTGTAAGTCCTTTAAATGAAAGTGCTGATTTTCTTACTGACAAAGAGATAGATGGTAGCAATGTCAACATTGTTTGAGACTGCTTAAGACTGGGGTTTTGTCTGTATAAATAATTCTCTGTCACTTTTGTTCTTAAGGTTACTGGTACTGCAGTATAGCTGTTCTATTCTCACTAATTCGCTCTTCTTGAATTTCTTTGGGCCTGATTTTACAACATCCCAATCATCTTTTATTTCCCAAAGGCACCAGCCTTGTCTTGTTAAAGTGCCTTTATGTGGATAAGACAATTAAATGAAAGAACAAAGAATGCCCGAGGAGCAACGGTAGAATATTTTTCTATTATTCCTGAAGAAATAATGGATAGTTTCATTTAGGAGGAGCTTTCTCATTTCCAGAGATTGGATAAAAAATCTAGCTATTCTTTACACAAAATGTGATGTAATGCATCTCTGCTTTGGAAGAGCTTTGTGTGGACAACACCTTCAAAGACTGACATTTACTTACATACCACAGATACAGCATCTGCTTCCTCCTGTGGGGGAGAGAGAGTTCTTTACTTCGTTTTCATTCTCAATCACTCTAGACTTTCCCTCCCTACACTGCACTGTAATCAGACCTGAGCAGTAATGGGAAGTTGTGCTCAATTTACCCTTGTTGATGTTATGACTGACAGGATAAAAACATTTTGCATATACAACCAAAATTTGTGATTTAAGACCCTGTTATTTCCCCACAACCACAGTCCAATCAAAAGAGTACAATATTTTCACTGCTCAGGCTTTATTGTTTTCCTGTTTAAGTATGTTCCCCTTCTTGCATACGGCAGCTTTCAAGACGAGACCCAAACCTCATCCTTCTCGGCCCAGCATCAGCTCCACCTCACTCTTTCTCCCCTAAACACAAGAAATTTGTTCCCACAACCTATAATCCCAGTGTCCCTCCATCCTTATAATATAGATCTGAGAAGTCCCTATAAGTGGTCATAACTCAGAAAGTATAATCATGCAAAAAAGACAAACAGGCAACTATTGTTCACACAAGTAAGAAAGAAGCCTTTTAGTCCTTTCACATAGCAAGTAATAGTTTTCTCCAGGAAGATGGTTTAGGAAGGGGAAGGACAGAATTACAGTTGATGTGGTCTTACACTAAAAAGTTTCAGATAGTTTGAGGTGTCTTGAATTACAATGCTTTAAATTCCTGCCTGTCATATACATATGGTTTATGGATTTGTTCTTTGTGTCTGGTTTTTACTAACCACAAGGCAATAATTCTAAATGTACATTTAAAAAAAAAAGATTTTGAATGTTCAAACTCAAACTTTTCAAACTTTCAAACTCAGCTTTGCAGAAGAGTCCCTGGGAGTCCTGGTGGACACCACGCTGAATATGAGCCAGCAATGTGCCCTCGCAGGAAAAATGGCAAGTGATGTCCTTGGCTGCTTTAGGATTGTTGCAGGTAGAAGGAGACAATCCTTCCCTTCTACTCAGCACTGGCAAGGCCACACCTGGAATGCTGGGTCCAGTCCTGATCTCCCCAGTACAAGGGAGATGTGGACACAGGGATGTTGAGGAGTTTCTTCATGGGAGCAGGGAAACTTGAAGAAATTTGACAATAGCAGAACACATTTGAATGCAATGGCTTATATGACTGCACTGACTTAAATATGCCCTTAATTCTATATGTTCGTATGAGTCATATGATTCTATGATTCCAGGTCAGACCAACTATCCAGGTGCTGAAAGACAAAAAGAGAGCAGGATATGCCCTCCTCCCAGCCCAGTGACACTGCTCACTTCTCACCAAGTGACTTTGAACCGAGAATAAGCCCTTTAATAACTCAGCCTCTGTTCATGCCATCCACCTGCCAAGCACAAGAGCTGATCTCCACTGACCTTCTGAACATGCCCTGTTGAGGAAGCAGGAAGCCAGCAAAGTTTGGCTGCTTCTTCTTTTTGTGGTGCTGCCTGGGGTATGTGCAGGGAAGGACCCACAGCTTGGGATCATTGCTCTGATGCAAAGGGATAAACCAGAACAGTATAATTCAGTTCTGCCTTTAAATGATAAAACACACAGACACTTTCCAGGATAGATCATGAATGTGAAAAAAAAAAAAACCAAAACCAAAGACTATGCCCAGCAGCTTCTTGACAGCTCCTCCCCAAAATCCACGTGGCTTTGATTTACCTGACTAGCATACAGGTGACAATAGTGGTAAAGCTTTCTAGAGGTTCCTGAGGAGGGGAAGTAGAGAGGGAGGTGCTGAGCTCTTCTTCCTGGTATCCAGTGATAGGACACATGGAAGAGATTCAAAGCTGCACCAGGGGAGGTTTAGACTGGACATCAGGAAGCATTTCTTTTCTGAGAGGGTGGTCAAACACTGGAACAGGCTTCCTAGAGGTGTGGTCGATGCCCTAAACCTGTCAGTATTTAAGAGGCATTCGGAAAATGCCCTTAATAACACGCTTCAGCTTTTGGTCAGCCCTAAAGTGGTCAGGCAGTTGGACTAGATGATCGTTGTAGGTTTCTTCCAACTGAAATAGTCTAGTTCTTCTCTTCTCTTCTCTTCTCTTCTCTTCTCTTCTCTTCTCTTCTCATGGTGATAGAAGGAGAATGGCATTGGGAGGACAGTCAGAGCTGGGTTTTATATGGATGCAGTGCTCTTGTGCTTGGTGGCTTCGTGTTGCTGAGACCCCACCACAGTGTCCCCTGACTGCTCTGTGGATGCAGTGGTCACCTCACGTCCCCATCCCTGTGCACCCCTCAGTGTCCTGATCTATTCAGTGGAGGAAGCCGAGGCAGGCGTCACCCGGAGCCTTGGTACTGCCACGGCTGCCTTGGACAAGGTACACATTGTCTTGCTCTGGCACTGCCTCTCCTATTGGCCCGTCCTGAGCGCTACAGGGTCTGGGCATCTTTAAAAGGAGGCCAGTGAGGTCTGAGCAGGGCACACGATCTCTCTGACTCCCACCAAGAGCTGCTGTGGCCACTGCCTCTCTCTGCAGGACGACCGCCTCACAAAACCTATACGATGTGTAACCGATTTGTGGGAACCTGGAAACTCGTCTCTAGTGAAAATTTTGATGACTATATGAAAGAATTGGGTGAGAAATGTTCTTTCTTTTTTTTTTTTTTTAAATGTTTTCTTTGGGAATGTCTCTTCCTTATCTTATGCTTTGCTCATGGATGGCACTTCCTGGCCACAAAAGCACTTTAATTGCTTTTCTAGCATAATTTAATTTCTTTCCTTTAGCATCTGAAATGGAAAGCCAGAAACATAGGTGCTGAATTACTATAATAAATTTACTTCTGTCTAACTGAACTGACCTGACCTAATGTGTTTTTCTGTAACGAGAAGAATCTATGGACATGCAACATTTTTTATGTTTCTCTTGATTGCACCATTAAACTTGTAACTTGTGATAATTTACAATATATAATGGAGCTGATGTCTCATGACACTTTGGTTTCAGAGGTCTAAATCCTATGAACGAAACTATCTGTTACTGAAGAATGCCAGCAATGTAATAACTTAAACATTGTTTTTCATTTTAATGCTGGCTTCATTCCTATATAGCAAGTGCACAGACAGTCAGCTACAGCACAGCTTTTGCTGTATAAATGATTCACTGAGACACTGAGTCACTGTATTTGAAATGTTAAACTGAATAACAAAAGAATTGCAGTTAATTAATTAATGAGAGTAAATGCGGGATGAAAGTTCAGCTACAGATATTTTTCTGAAGATTGAACAGAATTGTTTAGTATAGAATAATTACTGCAAGTAAAGTTATACTTTACAGATTACTTTATACTCTTTTACTCAGATCTTTTCATCCAAGCATAGCACAGCATTAACAAAGGCAATAACTATAGCCATCCCCTTTCTGCTTTTGTAAAACAGCAATACATCGTCACTGGCCTTCATTCTAACTTGCCCCAGACCTCTCAACTTGTAGACAATGAACTGCACTGAAAAGCACTAGGCAATATAAAAGGCTTTTGACATGGAATTTTCCCTGAAACTCTCTGCAGCTCTTTGCTCTTATACTTCAACATTTTTTATATTTCATACTTGTACTTTTCACTGAGGATTAGATGTAAGGATCCGTTTTAATGAACAATTAAGAATTGACAGTTCAATGTCCAGTTTCTCCCATGCAGCTGGGTAACAAAAGCGCAGATTCTCAGATTTGTCAAGATTTTTTTTTAAAAAAGGGATTTTTTTCAAGCTTTTATGCAAAATAGACTTTTCTTCTGAATTCTTCTACCCATTCTATCTCTACACAAATTCATGCAGATTTGTAAACATTTATGTTTCTTCTTATCTAAATGTACACAAGTGTGTATACTCATGTATATCTTTATTTCTTGATGAAGGTGCACTCTGTCAACTGGGGCTGCCTCGGCATCTGAAGGCAGTACTTCCACATATGAAGAATCAGTGTCTATTCAAGAAGAAACTCTTCCTTATTAATCCACTGAACATCTATTAGAGGAGACAGAGTTTCTTGCTTGCTAGAATGTAATGGTAGTTTTCTTTCTGATTTCTAGGAGTGGGCTTAGCTACCCGGAAACTAGGTGGCCTGGCAAAGCCTGATGTGATCATCAGTATGAAAGGGGACATAGTGACCATCAGAACTGAAAGCACCTTCAAAAATACAACCATCTCTTTCAAACTGGGCCAGCAGTTTGATGAAACAACAGCAGATGACCGGAAAGTAAAGGTAAGGGGACTGACTGATGATCTCTGAGTAGTCTTGACTTCCTCGAAGAGCCCCAGAAGGAGTTTTTCCTTAGTGCACTCTGAGCTTTCCAAACTATTCAAAGAAAGTTCTGAAAGAAGAAATGGGATGGTGCTGAAACTAATGTTACTAAGCGGGTCATTAGCCAAGGATGCAGATCTTGCTGAATGTAAAGTGAATTCTTACTCTAATCTGCAAATCTGGGACTGCAGTTTGAAACTCTTCTCTCGGCCTTTGCAGAGTGTTGTCACCTTGGAGAAAGGAGCATTGGTGCAAGTGCAGAAGTGGAATGGCAAAGAGACCACGATAAAGAGAAGACTGGTTGATGGCAAAATGGTGGTGGTAAGTTCACACTCCCTGTATGCTGATAAAGGTCAGAAGGATGCAGCCTTCAGTTTGCTTCTGTCTAAACAGACCGTCAGTTTGTCTTTCTCTCTGGTTTATGAAATACATTAAGAAGGAGAAAAGGGGAACCGAGTTTAGGAAACCAGCTGCAAGGAAATACATATTGTTCCATACAGCAAATTGCCTTCAAAGTGACTATACTGGCAGAGCTGCCGTAAATTGATAGCATACCTACTGCTCTCAAGATTATTATTCTTAAAAGAAATGAGGTTTTCAAATAGCAGAAACCTGTGAAATGCAAATAAAATTTTGCAAGTTGGGTACTGCTGTCCGTGGACTGGCTCTTTCCTTTTCCCTATCTTTCGAATAAGGCCTGTCCACCTTAGAAAATTGATTTTATACTTTTTCATACATCTATTTCCATTACAGCCCATCAATTCACACACTTTGGTTTGCTTTTTCCACATGAGTATGCCGAGCTCACTAAGCAGGTGCTTAAGGTTTATTGCGTGAAAGCCAGCATCTCTGTGCCCATTCCTGCCTGCGTGGTGACCTGCAGCAAGGACTGGCAGGTCCTGACAGATCCTCCAAAATGCTGGCCACAGTGAGAGAACCGTGTCTTTCCCGGGGGCGGGGGAACGGTGGCTTGTCCCTCACCCTCCCTTCAACCTACCTCTCTCTAGCGGCCATCTGAAAGCCATGGGTTGGCCAAGCCAGGGTGATAACAGATTTTAGGGACCCTAGTTGTAAGGGTCACTGCTGAAATTAAGATTTCACTTTTGAATGAAGGAAAGTACAATGTTCATTAAAGATTTTAAAGAGTGGACCCAAACGAATTTTGGTGATATATTTGAAATCATCAGCATTATGCCTTTACGTGCTGGCTTGTTGTGACTGCATTTTATTTTAAGCTCTTGTATATTTGAAAGGCTGATTTGCTTTCGCATCTCCTCATGGCAGTGTTTCTGTGTAAATTTTTGCTAATTATTAATCCATCTTTGAAATGCAGAGAGGTAGGGTCCCTCTTCCATCGGCATCCTGCCATCTCTGCCCCTTGCCTCAAACAGGCCTGGGGAGGGGCCCTCATCTTCTGCACACTGATGAGGTCTTTTTTGATGTCCCGTCGCCTCTGTCGCTCACATCCTGTGGCTGTGAGTCACCAGGAGCCACTGAAGGGACGAGGGGGCCAGAAGCAATATTTCGTGACTCATAAGTGCAAAGTTTTTTAGGCCAGAAGCCTGACCTCTGAACTACCCAGGCTACTTCTGCTTCAACAAAAAAAAAATCTTTGTAAAATTGAAAGCGTCAGTGGGCCATGGTACAATAAACTAGGTGAGGCTTATATTTCTGTCAAGCCAGCAATAATACCAAGGAAAGTAAATTTGTTTCTGGAAGCTGAGCCTAATTTTGCAATCTATTTGTCATTATATGCTACTTAATTAAGTCCAAAGATGTTAAAAGAGAAACCACTCCATTTGCAATATGAAAATAGCTTTGCTGTTTGCTCTAAAAATTATGTAAAGATGTAAAACATAACAACTGGCTTTTCACTGACTTCAGAAGTTGCTGCAGCAGACACACCTGCTGTCAGCAAAAGTTTTATATTAATCTTTTCCTTTGTGCCTTAGGAATGTGCCATGAAAGGAATTGTGTGCAC